CTCCTTACCACTCTGCTCCTTACCACTCTGCTCCTTACCACTCTGCTTCTTACCACTCTGCCAGCTTCTTCTCATACAGCTCCCTGCGCTCGCGACTCCTCTTCTCCTGCAAGGTCTCACCAGCCAAGCCATGCAATGCTATTAACAGGCCTCCTGCAGGGATCCTACAGGAGGAAGCAGAGAAGTCACGAGTCACCCAGGAGACACACAACAGCAACAACTCACCGGCATTGACAAAAGGAGCACAGGGGAGCCAGACATCACATCAGGGGAGCATCGCATTCCCCAAGACTCACACTGCACCACAGACTAAGCTACTCCTATCCTAGTGTGACCTACCAAGCACGGCCTCTCTTCAGCTGTGACTCACCAGAGCCCCTGTGATAACATATTCTGAATTTACTCATTGACAGGGCAAAGAGGTGGAAGAATCTAAGGTGCCCAAACAACTCCTGTAGAGCACCGCACCCATAATTCAGACAGTGACACCCTTCCATCCAGCTCTGGAGGTACTTGTGTTTTCATTGGTAAAGCTCCCTAGGCTGCTTCCAGGCATGGCCACAGCTGACACCATCCTGACAGTGACAAGTAGCCCATATAAAGCTCATTCTCTTGTTCAGGTGGGTCCCCAGATTCCTTTCTGAGCATTTTTACAAATCAGCACTTTGAGAAGAAATCCCAGCTCTGCTTGAAAAGTCAGACTTCTCCTGAGTTAAAGATTATTGTCCTGATGGACAGAGCCCCTGAGAGAGAACCACAGATTTCCTCCATGCCCCAAGGAGCTTTAGGAGACTCATGACTGCAAGATGTACCTGAAGAAGTGCTGCCTTACAACCTTGGGTTGTGCAGCCCGGCCACGCAGCTTCTCCCTCAGTGTTTCCCAATGGCTGCTGCTCCACATTTTGTAAAAAAATTATTTTTACACAGACTCTTTACCTGGCAGTCCCTGGGGTGCCCCCTTCTTCAAAAGGTGTCATCATGACATCTGACTCCCCTTGTCTGGATTCAGAGCTGCTACAGGAGCAGTTGCTGATGAAGCTGAGAAGGGAGCCCAGAAGCTACATCTTGCACTCCTGCCTTTACCCACAGACTACAGAGTTCCTTAAAACAGATATCCAATGGTTCTGCACACAAGCATTGGGCTCATCAGTGACCATGCCAAGGAAGGGGGACATGAGACACGTCTATAACCCATCCACGCGACTACTGTTAACCATTTAACAACAGTTAGTGTCTCCTCTAATAAACAAATAACAGCAAGTCAGATGCTCTACTGAGAGCACTGAGTTCTTACTGCTGAGAAAGCAGCAAAACACAAATCAAGAAACAAAGAAGAAAAAAACCCAACAGTTTAAAGGTTGGAAGAAAAGTGACCATCATGAAATCCCAAGGGAGATACAGAAAATCCCTCAAGGCAAGAGAGGAAGGGAAGCTTCAGTAGCCCCACCTATGATTCAAGGCTTGGTATGTGCAGCCACAAACACTCTTAAAGAGCAGGTTTAAGTCTCCATCACCCATCAGCAGCAGCCACAACTCACCCAAACGCTGTTCCAAACACGAGGCCACCTGCCAGTCCCTGCAGGCCCAAGTGCATTCTGAAAAGGGCTCCTGTGAGGCCTAAAAAAAGAACAAACCCACTGAAACCAGAAGCCTCCCCTCCCCAGCCATCACGTAGGGAGCTGCTTTGCTGCATTTCTCTGCTCCATGAGCTGACATCTACTTTTAACAGAGCAGAAGCCAAGTGCCATGGCCACTGGGAGGGACCCTCACCACGCAGTCACCATGAGCTCTGCACTGAAACATTTACAAAGCTCCTCCTGCTTCAGAAAGTCTGCCCAAGAAATGCTAAGAAGTATCTATGAAAGTAAAACTAAGCTCTCTAGGCTGGAGGGTGATCCCTCCCCCCTTTTTTCTGTTCAACAACAGCTAATAATAGCAGCTGCCATGTAAGGCAGAAAAGATTAGTAAAACACATATCCAACTGTAAAGGCAATAAAGCCTGTAAAACTGAATAAGCAGATCACTTACCCAGAGCCCTGTTGCCAAAAGCAGGCATGCAAAACTTAGGATGAAAAGGGCAGCTCATAAACAGGGCACTGAACTGCTACCAAGAGTGGAAATAAAAAATGCTTTCCCTAATAAATAGGTGGTAATGAGAGCACGTTATTGCACCAAGTGTTGCCTTTACCTCACACGAGCATTTTTCACCCAAAATACTCCAGCAAGTATTCTGAAGATGAACTAATAACCACAAATTAGTTTCAGCAGTGCATCAGTATCTCTGTTACAAATGAAGTCACACAGCAGGTAAACAATGGAGCAGAGTCACAACGGGAAGTCAGTGGAACAAGAAGCAAAACCCAGGAGCACAGAAGCCAGAGATCCACTCAAACCCAAGAAATGTGGATACCTGCTTACGCCTTTCTGCTAAGACCCTTGCTCACAAGGAGGAAAGCACACAAGGTTACAGCTCTCTTACCTCCTGCTGCAGCAAAATTACTGACGGTGGTTTTATCGCGGTACACAGACAGCCCGGTGCTCACCACGCTGCAAGGGAAAGGCACAGAAGCAGTCAGCAGCTGCACATGGAAAAAGAGAGGCAGCAAAATGCAGCCTGAAACAAAGCTGGATTTCATTAAGCCAACCCTCAGGTTGCCTCCAACCTCCTGGCTGCCCGTCCGTTCAGCCACAAGCTGTGACTTCTGTGACTTTACTGAGGCAGCTGCACAGACACAGGCCAGGGAATACCAGAGTTACCAGCTCGGATCTGGGATATTATTTCTTTTTCTTTTTTTTTTTAATCAAAGATTTTTTTCCATTGTACAGAACCACAGAATGGTTTGGGTTGGAGGGGACCTTAGAGATCATTTAGTTCCATCCCCCTGCCATGGGCAGGGACACCTTCTACTAGACCAGGTTGCTCAGAGCTCCATCCAGCCTTGCCCGGGGATGGGATATCCACAGCCTCACTGTTCCAGTGCCTCACTGGAAAACATAATATAGTCAAGGATGGAAGAAACCGAGCAATGACAAAGTCCTGTCAGTCAGCCAGTCCTGGTGTAGGATCTTTACCTGCAGGAGCTGACCCGTGTGTCAGTAAGATCTTGCCCGATTTTCTTGGGTGTTAACTGTGAAACTTAAAATTTGCACAACTGAGGGACAAAACCCTCAACAGGGGCTCTACAGAAACAATTAATGTCGAGCAGCTCCTTTCAGAGCCTTTTCCAAAGGGATGGTGGTGAAGAGGGGGCTGATCTGACTGCAGGGGAGACACCTGGTGGAGGACGATGAGGTTACGTGTCAAATCCAAAGAAATCCAGGAAAATCCAGAGAAATCAAAAGCTCCTGGAGAGAAGGCAAACTGTAGGCTAACTAAACCTAAAACCAGATACTAAACAAAAAGAAAAGATCGAGGAAGAAGTTCAGAAAGGAATAAAAAATTAGGGAGACAAAAATATCAAATAATGACAGTCAACACTGCTGGTGTCTCAAAAGCAGAAGGGGACAGAACATACTTGCACATAGAGACAAAGCAGGCTTAGGACTACACACAAATTTAACATTTTGAACGTCAGGGAAGGAGATATTCTTAGTTTTAAAGGTCTCTACTTGGAAGAGCATTCTTAATTTGATGCTCTGTTGTCAGAAATGCACTGAAACATCCAAGGGAGAAAATTGGGGAAGTGGAACATTCTCTCTGCATGGGTTTTGTGTGTGCAGGGAAAATTTGAAGGCCTGAAAAGGTACATAGAACTGGTACGTCTGATGTTCAGTGACTGCTTAAGAACATGACAACCATCTGCAAGAGTCTGAGGACAAAAACAAAGAATTGTGAGTAACATTAGTGCACACAAATTGGGAGTGATGACAGAGATTGTGAGTAACACTGGTGTATACAAACTAGAAGTAACGAGGCATAGCAACAAGGAGAAAAATTAATGTGGGATAGAAAGCTCTTCCAGAAACTGCCAACACACTATCACACTCTCCCAGAGAAAAACACACAAAAAGAGGTGAAACAAAAGCAGAAAGAAGCTGTCAAGGAAGGGAAGAACAGTATTCCAGCCAACAACAGCATGGATTGGATGCAAGAACAGGGCTTTTAGGGTTTGGGTTGGTTCGTGAGAAGATCTGAATTCTGGGATCATTCAAAAGGGTTAAACCCTCTTCATGTTCACGCCTAATCAATCAGACTCATGTTGGCACAACACTTGGAGCCTCAACCAGTCACCAGAGCTGTGAGTGCTGCCTCCTGAAGCACGAGTACAAAGCCAGCTCTCCTCCCACTGCCATCGGGAAACACTTACTTGAATATTGTCGCGAAAGTCGCGACTCTCCAGCTCCAGCGCCAGCCGTAGCGGAGGAAACTGCGGAGGCCAGCACGATGTGCAGATTGCTAAGGTCAGAGAGAGGACAGGTTACACAAAAAACTAGAAACTAGTTCATTATTATGAGCTCAGAAGCATTAATAATTAATAACCACCAATAAACAATAGTAAGTAAATAACAACCACCTGCATTAAATGTTAACAGACCCTCCAAGCTCTGCAGTTTAATACTGGCACTTAGAAGTTTGAAAATAAGAGGGTTTTTTAAAGATGTGATAAACAGAAGCTTCACGAAAATTAAAAATGTTGCAGTTAATACCACAAAAGTAAATAAATTGTCAATTCCAGTGCTTGTGGTGTAAGAGCTTAGCTCGAGTGCAGAGGAAAGCCAGGCACTGGTACTTTACAGGCTGCTATGTCAGGGGCAAACTTTAATTGAGAGTGATGAAAAATCAGATTTTACATCAGGCAGATTTTTAAAGGGGTTTTCTCCTTCTTGATCCAGGTAACCAACACTTTTAAAGTCCAGATACATCACACCTATAAAATGTCACACATGTTCTTTGTTGTGCTGTTGTAAAAGAATTTTAAATGGTCTTAAAATAACTCCCATTATTAAGACAAAAGGGCTGTGAATTCTCTTGCCAACACACTAAAATTAAGAAGCAAAAAAGCATTTCAAGACATACTAATCAGCCATTTAACAGAACAGGAAACTTTGTTATCAACTCTTTCTGTAACTAAGGACACTTTCTTCTAAGTTAACTGTGCAGAATTTGGGTATCAGGGAAGAGCGAACTTACAGCAGCTGATCAGGCAGGTTGCACACACTCAGACACAGCAAACACCTCGCTGTTTTTGCCGCAAAGTACCAAAATCGGGCACACACAAACACACACACACACACACACGTCCTACAAACGCGAGGCCACACGGCCTCCAGCGGGCTCCGGTGTCACCGCGAGCCGCGGGCTCCAAGGGCAACTTCCACAACCGGGGCCCTCCCGGGGCAGCGGCTGCCCGGGGTCCCGGCGCGATGCCCAGCGCTCCCCCCGCGGCTCTCCCGGGGCCGTACCACGGCATCGGCGCGGTTCTGGAACAGCTCCCCGTGGCTGCGCTCGATGAAGGCCTTGCGGGCGCTGGCGAAGGCGGGCAGCCCGCCGTACAGCCAGCCCACCAGGCCCGCCGTGAACGCCGCCTTGAAGAGGTTCACCGTCTCCTCCGGGAACCGCTGCAGCTCGCTGCAAGGGAAGGGCCGGCATGGGGCGGGAGGCACGGCGGGAGCGCCGCGGCTCCAGCCCGGCCCAGCCCAGTCCATCCCGCCCCATCCCGGCGCTCACTCCCGCTGCCAGAGCTCGCGGAGCCGCTCCCAGCCGGTCTGCGGCGGCGGGACGGGGCGGCCGAAGCCCGGCCGAGCGCCCGGACCCTCTGCCATGGCCGCACCGGCGGCACCGCGCGGCAGCGGCAGCGCCCCCTGCGCCCCGGCGGGGAACGGCAGGGGCCGGCTCGGCCTGGCTGGGCTCGGCCTGGCTGGGCTAGGCTTGGCTAGGCTAGGCTTGGCTTGGCTTGGCTAGGCTCGGCTTGGCTGAGCTGGGCTCGGCCCGTTTGGGAACAGCACAGAGCCACGCCGCCCCTCCGGGAGAACCCGCGGGGGGGGGTCCCGGCTTCCCTGCAGGTCAGCGCTGGTTTGGCAGAAGTCCCCGGCTCGGACCCGCGGGCGACCAAGGGGAAGTTTCCAGCCACCACAAGCCGAGGCTGGAGGCAGAGGTGCCCTAAATGTGACAGAGGAAGGACGGAGACACGCTTCACTGTCTCTGGGGGTACAGCTAGGGGCTCTCCAGAGCATCCAACAAAACTTCGTTTTCGTTTGTTTTATTCCAAAACACGCTTCATTACAAATGGTTTAAAAATATACAGAGCTGTTTCAGTTTCTCCGAGTGCTGTCTCTCTGTTGACTAAAAATAGAAAACCAGAAAAACCCTTTCCACTCTCACAGTTCTTTTCCTCAGAAACCAGGCTATTTTAATGGCCCAATCTGTTTTCTTTGCAGGCTGGGTTAATCCAGGCATTGGTCCTGTAACCAAGATGCTGCTGCAGCAACAGGCACTTGGCCAATAGGTCCAGCAGTTATGTCCCTGTACCAGGGCTTGGCAGTGCTGTGAGTGCACATGTGCACAGGTCCACTCAGTGTTATTGTTCCATGTATTTTCTTTCCTCTCTGATCCTGACTGCAGAGGAGACTGAGCTGTTGCTATCCCTCTTCTCCATTATACTGTGCTGCTCCCTCAGCCTTGAGGCCGCTTTACAATCAAGGGTGCTCCCCTGGGAGGCCATGTCCCTCCTGCCACCCCACAGAGCCCGTGTTCTCCAGTCTGGGTGCCAGAGAAGATGCTGCTCCCTGCCAGGCCTCTCCCCTCAGGGCACACAGAGCATTTCACTCCCTCTGGGCTGAGCAGCCCGTTGTGGGCACAAACACAGCAAGCACAAGCAACCTGTGACTGAACTCAAACTGAGCAGTGTGAGGAGTAGCTGCCACTGTGTGACCAAATACATTCCCTCAACCAGGCTGAAGGAGATGAGAAAAGCAGTGGAACAGCTGTGGGGAAGAAAAATGAGTAAGGAAGTGAGCACATGTGTTACCAACCTCAAAAAAAACCCCAAAACAAAGTAAAAAAAAAAAAGCGCAAAATAAGCCTAGAAAAATTACAGAAGGGGATCAGAGCAGACTCTGAACTTCTGGAAGAAAGAAGCACTGAATCTACCTCTGCCAGTACTTTCTCTGGGTTCCTAAGGGTCCCAGGATGTCTGGCCAGCCAGCTGGTGAGAGCTAATTAACAGAGGTTCAGTTCTGCAGGGCCCTGCAGGCACCCAGCTCATCTGTCAGAGGACCAACCACCCCTCTCTCAGCCACCAACCACGTCACTGTCTGCTACTCATCCTGAGTGCTGCGGCCACATCACCATCACCTGCTGCTCCCCTATAAGGTACGTAGTTTAACTCTGCAGGGATCATTTGTCCTTTCAGTGGCATGGCAAAGCCTTACCATCAACCTCTAAAACCCAACATACACGCAAGCGCTAAACTATCCAAAAAGGTTACCTGCAAATCCCAGCACCTGCTTCTGTCAGAGGACTTGGTAAAAAGTGCAGTAAAAAAACAGTGAGGCTTCTCATCGACTGAATGGGATTTAGGCTCATTCTAAGACAGGTAGTAACTAAGTCCTAAATGCTAACAACCCCTCCTCCAGCCAGGACTGACCACCCCATCCAAAAGCCGTAACCCAACATTCTACTTAACATGCTTATGGTGACAGTATAACCAGGTCCCACTGCCTGGGAGCAGTGTCAAAGTCATCCTACCGCTCTTCTCTGTAGTTCTGGTGTAAAAGAGAAGTCTGAGAGGGCAAGAAAGAAGGTAAAACTGATCTTCAGATCTCCACAGCAATCGGTTTGAGCTGAAGAGAAAAACAGAGAAGTCTCTACAGTTCTGTTTTCACCCATTCAGGAGTGATCTGGCTGTAGTTCTTCCTCCTTTTCACTTTGTAAGTCAAGGCCTGGGAATATTCAGACAGCAGATGCTCCCAGTAGCAAGAGACGTCCTCCATCTGCAAGTGCTCTGTGATGAACTGGCGTCCCCTAGAGACACACAAGGTACAGTCAGGACTGTTTTCCAGTTCCTACAAGAGTCATTGGTTTTGGTTTGGATGTATATCAACTTTCACTCTTCTGTGTTTCAAATGAGAAACAACATGAACTGCTCTGTACCATCTATTTTAATTCCATGATTTTCATTCTCGCTCACAGCTCTGACAGTTGCAGTGCTTTTGTTATCCTCAAGATGGTATTTGTTGTCTGGGATAATAAATATCAGATTTCACTTATCAGATGCAGCCTGAGCAGCACTGATTCATGCTGCTTCAGAAGCCAGCCCCTGCCAGCCTGGGTAGATAATGCTTACAGTGCAGACACAGCTCCAAGGAGTCAGCTCACCTCATACTGAGACAAAAGCTCCCAACCTCTGACAGCTTTCCATGAGATTCCTGACACGGGTCACATCTGAACCAAAGACTCTAAGCACGGAATTTTGTTCTTTAGTTCCATCTGCTTGTTCCAAGTGCTCCAGCCCTCCTGCTGTTATTGCAGAAGATCAGTTATGCTGCACCCTACTAATACTAACATTGTCTTTGATAGGCAACCCCTTCAAAAGCTGTGTAAGAAAATGCTCTGGAAGAAGACTGCCTGATAGCCAGGAAGGACATACAACTTACCTCTCTGAAATTTCTTGTGCTATGGCATCATTTTCCTTTACAAACTGCAACAGCTCTCTAAAATGAAGACAAAGAAAAAGCTATGAAGCAACTGGCTCTGTGGAGAACATTGTCCTGTAGCTTAACTGTTGGGGAGGATGAGGTTAAGACTCTACAACTGAGTGAGGGTGCTGCTCACCTCAGAGAACAGAAGAGACTTGCCCTGCTCGACTGCTCCACATCAGTTCTGGACAGCACGCTGAAATCTGGGAGCTAACTTATTTTTGGCCCACTGATAAGTTCCTCTTCCCCCTCATCTCTGCTGCAGGGCCCACCCGTGTGGCTGCTGGTTTCAGTGAGAGTGACAGAGTTACACACTCCTGTGAAACTGCAGCCCCCAAGTAATATGAGCAAAGGATTCTCTGGGGGCAGTGATGAAGAGATAAGAGTATGACCTCCAAGAGCACATTGCCTGATGCCTTGGGGTGGAGGCACTTCTTAGCCTACCACAAACAGAACCACCAACGTCCCAAACGCCTTCCTGTGGCAGGAAATGCTCTCTGATGTGTCACACCTGACGTCAGAGAGGTCTGGTCGCACCGGGATGTAGTGGACCCAAGGCTTCAGCTGGGGATAGAAGAACTCCAACCACTCTTCCCCAACGTGAAAGACGAGTGAACCGCACAGGAAAAGGTGTTTCAAGCGGAAACTGGCCGCCACTCCCCGGAAGTTGAACAGGTACCTTTAAAAAGACAAGCAAAGAGAGGGACCTGATTACACCTGGAATTTTGTGAGGAAGTGCACAAAGACAGCGGTCTGTGAGTAGCAGTGAACCTTCCCTCACACTGGTTGCTGAAACAAAGGGAAGGCATTTATTTGAAGCTCCTCACAGGAAAGGTGAGCTGAAACGAAGGATGTGCTGTGTGAATTTCTGCTGTCTGTCAAAGCTGAGGGAGCAAATCAAGGGCTGAGGCTTCACCTCTGATAAAGGCAGCTGCCTGCAACAAACCAAAGGAGGCCTCATGGAGAGCTGCCAACAAGGCACGGAAGGTCACAAGGTAGATGCTGATCCCATGACTCTGCGCTCCGGAGACTCTGTTACCACAAGGAAATTTTTCCCAATTCTCTCTTGCCTTGCAGTGAGCTTTTCTGTTCATTGTTCTGCTTTGTCACATCTATCTCAGGTTATTTTTTCCTCTGGGATTCTGCTTTAATCTGAGCGTAATTGTTCCATATTAACTTGGGAATGCAACCCTAGGAGGTTAAATAGGCTAGCACACAACAGATGGACTTTGCAGATAATAAAGAATCCACAATTTTGTTTTCAGTATTTTCTGCCAAGTTAGTAAAGTGGGCTTGACTGTGGCAGGGGGGTATTTCTCTCAGCAAACTGTATCTCAGAGGGATGTTTCTTTGCTTACTTGTTTTCTTTTTCAAACCCACATTTCTCCAATTATATAGAAAGCTGTTTTTCCTACGGGTAAAACTGCTCAGTGCATATAACTAATCTTTGAAGTCAAACATTTTGGGCTGGGGGAAGAGAGCTCTTCCTTTAATGAAGCTATTTTGGGTGAGATGGAGATTATATATTACATGTATTTTGGGCAAGATGGGAATTACAGCTAAACTCAGTTCAGCAGTAAATGACAAGGAGTAAATCTGAAATTACTCTGCATCCTTTGTATTACCCAGGAGCTCAAGGCAGGGACAAGGAGCTTGTAGTACTAGGAACTCGACAAATACATGTAGATGTATAACAAGAGCAGTGGTCTGGAATGGTGGAAATGCCTCTGTCCAATTCCAGACACAGCTCCTGTGACAGGAACCTGTGACCTCAGCCAAGCCACTGAGTGCTGCTCTCAGCCAGCCTGCTATGGCACCTACAGTGAAGGAAGCAGACAGAAGCTCATGCTGACCCTACCAGACTCTGGTCTATAACAAAAGAGTGTGAGAATGTCTCAGCCTGAGGAGCATCAGAGTTGGGCAGTGCATGTGTAACAGAAGGGAGAAATCTGGGCAACAGTCTACTGAAATACAAAATGAGACAAGTCAATCACATTTGCACAAAAACACAGATCCAGCCAAGTGACTGAGCTCTTGTATCAGCAGATTCTAGCTGGCAGAATCACAACTAGCAAAAGAAAAAGCAAAACATCAGACACACAAGAGCATACACACTAAGGGTTTATATTTTACCTAGAAACCTGCAG